TGGGGCCGCCAGGCCCGGGGGGGACGGGCGAGGGTGGGCGTCGCGTCTGTTTTCTGGAGACCTGCGACCGTGATTTTTCGGAATAGCTCCCGATGAGACAGGAAATGATGGAGGTTGCTTCGTGAAGTAGGATATACCAAAAAACGATCGGAAAACCTTTTTTTAAATTGATTTAGAACAACAGAAAACAGTGGTGTAGCTGTAAGGTAAGTCCTGCTGCTTTTCCATAAGGCTTAGCCAAAGTGGTCTGTAGGAAGGTGATAAACTTTTTTCTGAAGTAGTTTCTAAGTAGTACAGCTGATGTAGAAACTTCTGTATAAAACAGCCAGTTTAAAATAGGAGACCACATTATTTTCATGCTTAAACAAGTTATCAGTAGGAGCTGTGTGTCCAAGTTCTTGTTTAAGTTGGTCAGCCTCTGGCCGGCCCTGAGCTGAGCCTTGGTCAGCCCTGCAGTCGTCAGGCAGTCGGACTAGATGATCGTTGTAGGTCCCTTCCAGCTGAACTTTTCTCTTCTAAAGCAAGTGTAACGTAAAGCCTGTTTTCCAATTTCAGTAACAGGAAGAGTCTTGTTTTTCGGCATGTTATTAGCCTATGCTAGAGCCAAATTTAGAAGGCTGTTTCAAGTTTCTGTCCAAACTTGTTCAAATACAAAGTGAATGGGAAGAGTATGTTTTCACGGCATATTGTATCTTCTTTTTCACATACATGCTATTGTTGGGACTGCCAGTTATGTTCTACGGGGTTGCCTCGTGAGGCAGCATCAAAATGAGCACTCATTTTGCCATTGGATTTATTCACAGATAACGTAAGGAAGAGTGGCAAATGTGCCCTGCCCCGTATTCACCGTAATTGGTTCTCTGTAGGTTCTGTATCTGAAATGACCGTTACAGCCTCTTTAATATGTGAGGTTTAGTAGCAGTGTTTCTTCAATCAGATCTTTTGGATCTTTTCTGTCAGCATTCCTGGGTGGTTTGACACATTGTTTGGTGCACGATGGTGTCTGCTTCTCAATACTTAATGTCTACCTGAGGATGTGAAATTTTCAGCATTGAAGAACACGTGGTTTGGTTTCAGATAGCCTCTGCAGTCATACCAGATGGAAGTAAAGTCCAGTTCATTGACTGGCAGTTTGAGACACCTAAACATTGGCAGATACTGTGATGCCTCATTCTTCTATCTAAGTTTTTTCCATAAGGTCTGGTGGCATCCTGTGACCAACTGTAATGCTGTGGAACCACTTAACCAAATAATTAATTAATTTGCTAAGGAGATTATTTTTTTATTGCATATGTTGCTTTTGTTAGGAAGTGTTCAGTGATGATGTTTCCAGAGTAATTAACTCTGGCACTTCAGATTGAGTGAATGGAAATTAAGGAGCCTGCAGATTAATGAATGTGCTCTTTTTTTTTTTTTTTTTTTTTTTTTTTTTTTAAAAGCAGCGTGGAAGGAATGGAGAAATAGAATGCCTGTACAGTGCATTAAACTTATGTCCCTCTCTAGCTGCCTTCTGGCTGTCATGCAAGTGCTGTGCTTCATGTGATATTTATGAGAGTAGATAGGTACCTTTTGGATGTTACTGGAAGCTTCTCTTTTTATAGAGTCTTGTTTTATGTTTATGTCCCCAAAAGCATTTCAGAATTTTTAGAAGGGTGTACTATACATGGAAAAGGCTATAAGGTCTTTGTTGTAACTCCAACTCTTCTGCCACAACTTCTGAACCTGTTTGTGGTTCTGTGGCTTTTTCTTTCTTAGCACTTAGATACTGACACAAAATATTATGCCCTTCTTTTAAAAAAAGAAGAGGGGGAAGTGCAGTCATAGTGTGGACGAGCTTAGATCTTGAACAGAAATTCTAAATTCTATGCCTATGGAAGGGGAGTTAAGAGAAGTATGAATGACATGTTTTATTAGTCTCACAGATTTCTGTCGGAGGTGCCAATTCAAGTGTAAGATGCCTTGGTTTCCATTTGAGCAACTTTACTGCTTAGTTCTACATCTGTTTCTCCATTTATAGAACAGAAACAGTAGTTACTTATATTAAAATGTGCTGAAGATAAAACTACTGGGTTTATTTGGGCTCAAGCTTGTGAAGAGGGAGATTATTAAGTACTAGGTATAATGTGCTTTCTGCTAATACTTGTAAAGCTTTTGGTTCAACAGCTGAAAGGGGAGAATGAAAAGGATATTCACCTCTAGAGTACTAGAGTCAAGTTGTTTGTTACATCATTTATCTCTGCTTTCCAACCACTGGTCTTTTGCAATGGTTGTCTTTGAAGCTGCAGGCTCTGGGAAAAGGTCCAGCTACAAGTAAAAGCAAAGATGACCTTGTGGTGGCAGAGGTAGAAATCAATGATGTCCCCCTCACGTGCAGAAACCTGCTGACGAGAGGACAGACTCAGGATGAGGTATGTTCAGAATCTACGTCTGATTTGTTAGGCTTGGCAGCATGTTTGTACCTGTTTGTAAGGTTAAAAGAGCTTGCAATAAACTATATTCAGTGGTTGCTTCCTCTTTTTACAAAACTCATGTTTTCTAAGATGTTTAGTCTTTTATTAGTCATGTTTAGTCTTTTATTGGTTTGTTCAATAAAATGTCATATGATGAGGTAAGGTAGCATAGCTAGTATTCTTTAGCGGGCACCATTCATTCTCCTCCCACTTTATTAACGACTTCTGGTCTTTTTATACAACAGCATAGCTTAAACCACTTTGGGGTTTTTGTGTGTGCTTTGTTTATCATTGGTAAGCTTGTTGCTGGGCTTTTTAAATTGTAGATAAGTCGACTGAGCGGGGCAGCTGTCTCTACTCGAGGGAGATTCATGACTGCAGAAGAGAAAGCAAAAGTGGGACCCGGGTTTGTATTTCTTTTTTGGAGTTTCTGCTTTTTTTTTTTTCCTCATTGGGTGGCTAGTGGTGGGGGTTTTGTTTGCTTTGGTTTTCATGATGGGTGTCATGTTTGGGTGCCAGAGCAAATTGGCTGTTGAATGTTTCAAATATGTTTACCGTTATGATAGTACTGACTGCGTAGCTGCTTTCCTACCTGCTTAATATTGGTAGGGTGAAATAAAAAAACCCCACCAACAAACCAGCCACAAATGTGACAGATCAGACTGTGCTGAACTTCTTCCAACTGAATACTATTCTGTGCGTTTTGCCAAGAATGGGCAACTTTCCAATTACAAAGAGAGCTAATATTTCATAGACTCAGTGCTTTTAGTTAGTTAACCTTTCATGGGACAAGCAAATTGAAGTTTTCAGTGGTATAACTTTGTCATCATGTAAATAAAACTTCTGAATCTTTTTAGTTTTCGGTGCAAAGCTTTGCTTGCTGAGTGTTGTGATATTCAATGAATATGTATTTACTTCCTTATTTGAAGAGTATTTCAAATCTTTATGGAAGACTTTAGGTGTCTGGATGACTGTAACATAATAATGGATTCAGTCTATTATTGTGTGTTCTCTGTGGGTTTAATGGAATATTTGACATTTCCTTTCCAGAGATCGTCCTTTGTATCTTCATGTCCAGGGTCAGACACGGGAATTGGTTGACAGTAAGTGTACAAAGCATTTGGCTTTTTCTCTCATTGTTTGAGATAAGGGGTTTTACTAAGGGGCTTTGTTATGATCAATATGGATTTGTACTATAAATACCTCAATGTTGACAGTAGACCCCATTTAAATGTTGATGTTAAGGTCTCTGCTCAGAACTACCTAAGGTGCTGTGTATTGCATCCTGCAAGCCATGAAACTAAAACTTCTGATAGACTACAAGGAAGGTGGGGGGAGTGGGTAGGGTTCCTAGGCAGGTACAGCTCTTATGTATAAGTTTATTCACTGATAACACACTGAGATCCCGTTAAAATAGGTGTCTGACAGGGATACCTTCCCTTTAATATTTTTATTAGAGGCACAAAGAACTCCTGTCTTGCCTATGCCTGCTGGAGAAAAAGGAAAAATATAACTGTTCAGGTGTTCATCTGTTCTGTGTATCAGTTCACGGGCTTGCCCTCAGTTGTCTGTTGAAACTTGAAGCTGCCCACTTGCCTCTACCTTGATTTCCACAGCCAGTAAACAATTTTTCACATTAGTTTGCTCATTCATGCAGATGTAGATTCTGTACAGGGTTAATGTAAATGTTTCTAGCATTTACTGAAATGTGTGGGCTAAAACTGCCCACCTGCATATATTAGCCTAAGCTTTATCAGGGTGGGAGTGGAGAAAGAACCCTGATGCTTGTTGCCACCCTTTGTGATCCAATCCCAGAATGCTAATATTGGGCCCCACCGTCAGGTGCAATCTTTTTGCTTGTAGATTTGCTGTCACAGAATATGGGAAAGTAACCTAGTCATTTCACAATTTGGTTAATCTGGGCAGTTGACAAGGGCTGAAATAAAAATGAATTTTGCATTCTGCCAACTAGGAGCTGTTAACCGAATTAAAGAGATAATTACTAATGGAGTAGTGAAAGCAGCCACGGGTTCTAGTCCGACGTTCAACGGAGCTACCGTTACCGTGTATCACCAGCCAGCCCCTATTACTCAGTTGTCTCCAGCAGTTGGCCAAAAACCTCCATTCCAGTCAGGAGTGAGTAATTAATTTATGTGACTTTCATTGAATATCACTGATTACAAGATTTGCCTATTGCAAACTATACATGTAATGTACTGTTTATTTAAAAAAAAAAAGACAAACAAAAAGCCCCATCCCCCAAAAAATCAAAAAAACTCTTGCGTGTTGTGAAAACTGGAGGACTAATCAGGCTGAGTCTGAAGAGTGAGATTCAGATGACAGTAGCCTCCTAAAAGAAAAGGGATGGAGAGAGCAGTCCTACTTACAGAAAAGCAAAGGGCTGACTGCGCCATCTGACATTTAACTCTTCTGTCTGTCGTAGAAATAAGATTTCTGGCCTCCAGTGAAATGAACATCCTAATTATTAGAGTGAAATAATAACCTTTTACTGCTACATTTACAGATGCATTATGTTCAGGACAAGTTATTTGTTGGTCTGGAACACGCTGTACCTACATTTAATGTGAAGGAGAAAGTGGAAGGGCCTGGTTGCTCCTACTTGCAGCACATTCAAATTGAAACGGGTGCCAAAGTCTTTCTTCGTGGGAAAGGCTCAGGTTGCATAGAACCAGCATCGGGTAGAGAAGCTTTTGAACCCATGTACATCTACATCAGGTATGAGGGTTTTTTAAAAAAACTAAAATAAAAATCCCAGTGACCAGTCATGAATGTAGCTTAATGTTTAATCAATTTGGGGAATTCTTAATTCTGACTGACTTAATGCAAATGAAATAGTTTTTGAACCTGACTTTTATTTTAATAGAGATCTCTCTAAAGTGATAAAGATATCAACCATATGATGATACGCTATAAAATGATATTCAACCGTAAGACGCTGCTTTTATTGGCAACACAGTAAAGCTGCGTTCTTTTTGGGCTTGGGTTGTGATGTTGAGCTTTAAGGGAAGAATACAAAATGCACTGACCAATCAAGTCGGTGTTCTGTGCTCGTTTCTTGCAGTATTTAGACTAACCTGAATTTTCACGTAGAAAATAAATACTCATCACTTTTGTTCACAATTGTGCTAAATAGCTGCAGAGCTGCTAGAGTCCTGTTGAAGTGACTGATCACTCATTAAAGGGATAAGATCTGACAGCAAGTTGCTCCCAAATTTGGTGGAGACATTTGTGCTTATGAGGTATTTTTTTGTATATGTTTTCAGTCACCCAAAGCCAGAAGGTTTGGCAGCTGCTAAAAAGCTCTGTGAAAATCTATTGCAAACCGTGAGTAGCTCTTACAAATAGGAGATTTTGGAGCCTGTCATAGTTTTAGCGTGTGCCTGGCTAATGATTTCTTGTTTTTATGCTCTCAGCAAAACTGTCTGTGTGTTCTGACTTGCTAATAGGTTTTTCCTTCCAAGTACTGCTCTCTGATTTTTGTACAGTGAACAAACGTTGCTCAGGATGGAGTTGTAGTAGTGGAGTTTTGGGGGAAAAAATGCAGCTGCTTCCTGAGCAGGACAGGGGGCAGAAATTGTCTGGCTGTATGCACATAAAGGAATCCTGCTTTTTTCTGATTGCTGTAGCTTCCTTTGCTTTAGCTTTAAAAGTTGTCCAGAGCCATGCTGTCTTTGTTTCCTGAAGTGATTGTTGTACCAAAAAGATTCTGGAAAATCTCTCACATGCACACACAGAAAATTAATTTCTCAGCTTTTCTTACATGAATGCAAATAGAGTAAAATCCTGTGAGACCGTCTTTCTGTTAGTGGTGATAATTGAGTATGGGCTACAAAGTCTCTCTTGAAAAATATATGGAAGCTTTTAGATTCTTTGACTTTGAATGTTTTTGTCTCTACTGAAGTACTGAGTTTGCCACGCTGCATTTCCTGTGAAAGAATATTTTACACAAATCTGTCACAGAGACCAGCAGGATAGTGGGATATTCAGCAGGGTTTTAGTGGGGGTTTTGGTCTGTGGGCTTTTATTTTCAGTTTTTATGTTTGGATTATTGCTGCCTTTGTGCACAGTATATTCTGTAATCAAAGTCCCCTTACATTGGGGATGCATGGTAAGATGCCTTTTGCCTGCAAAAGATTAATATAGTAAACAGATGTTTATTGTCTAATCTTTTAAAATCCTTTATAGGTTCATGCTGAATACTCCCGATTTGTGAATCAGATAACCACTGCAGTACCCTTAGCAGGTAAATGTTCGCAATAATGAAGTCTTTGGAGTTGCATTCTGCAGAGCTGTACTTAGACTTAGTTTTGTGGAATTTATTTACCTGTGGAAGTCTTTGTGTTAAGTCCTTCAGTTGAAAAGGAGTCTAGCTTCTTTTACATTTAGTAATTAAATTTACTATTTTTGTGACTAACTGAATTGAAGATGACCCTTTTTTCCCCCTTTCTCTCACCAGGCTTCACACAGCCTGCTGCTATAAATAGCGTACCTTCCCAGCCATCGTATTACCCTTCCAACGGGTATCAGTCTGGTTATCCTGTTGTTCCCCCTCCTCAACAACCAGTTCAGCCACCATATGGTGTACCAGGCATAGTACCACCTGCAGTGCCATTGGCACCTGGAGTCTTAACAACACTACCTACAGGAGTTCCGCCTGTGCCGACACAGTATCCAATATCTCAAGTACAGCCTCCAGCCAGCACTGGCCAGGTACTGCCACAGATTAATTATTTGCCCTATAGTTGTCAACTTACTAAGCCGTTTCTTTGCTAACGATAAAATACTTGAAGAATTATCTATCTGGAACCACTTTTTTAGGGCATTTTTTTTTGTTAATTGCTTTGCTGATACTTCTGTCTAAGCAACTAAATTGTTGGTATGGCTGCTTCCTACTGCGTTTTTCATATCGTAGCCACCTGTTAACAGAAAGGATATTTGCAGGGGGCAGTCACTTGTTTATGAAAAGTGTTATCTCAGGCTGTGATACAGCTGTGTAGGTTCAATGATAGCAAGTACTTTGAGGTGGGAGCATTCCCATGAAATAATTGTTTTGTCTTGAAGTTGTGAATTTCCTTTTAGTTTCTCCTAAGTTCTGCAAAGATAAACTAGTTGTGTGTTCTGCTCCTGTGTATGAAACTGTACACTGAATTAATACTTTATATGCATATTATCAAATTTTCTTGTGTTTTGTTTTCAACTTCTGCATGTCAGAGTCCACTGAGTGGTCCTTTTCTTCCTGCTGCCCCAGTAAAAACAACCGTGCCGACTGGTACGCAGCCACAAGTCCAACCCCATCCCCAAGGTCAAAAGAGACGCTTCACTGAGGAACTGCCGGATGAGAGAGAGTCAGGACTGCTGGGATATCAGGTGGAATAAAATCGGCAGTTTTACTTCATTCACCAAAATGGAACTTGGCTGGAGAGGGATTGCTATTAGCACAATTTATTTGACAACTGTCATGCAAGACCTTTGGCAGATGGCAGCAATTGTTACAAAACATCGAGACCATGCTTTGGTTTCTTTGAGTGGATGCACTGTTAAACTGTGACTGACTTGATTCATTGGCAGCTTGCTTTCCATACCCTCAATCTTTCATGAAGAATAGCAGTGCGTTCAGGTCAAAGAGATGACAAGAGCGTGTTACTGGTTAGTTTAAAGGGAGATTATTTGGGTTTCTGCTTAGTTTTTTGTGGGCTTTTGAGTGGACTTGTTTGAGGGGTGGGAGGGAAATGTAATAACTTCCAGATTTTCCCATTTACCTTTCTTGCAGGTTGCAGTTGAGAGGATTTCAAGAAGCCTAGTTTTAAGAGATTGATTTTATTCTTTTTAGATAGCAGATGTTAAACAGCCGATTTTAATAAAAATAATTTTGAGTTCTTCAGACTTGTATGTGAGAAAAGGGAGTTTCTGCAAATGCTTCTGTGATGATAACACCCATGCTCACAGGCAGAAACCCTTAGTAAAAGCTTTTGCCTAGAGAAAATAAGGAACTGCCTATATGTTAGACCTAATATTAGTATCTTGAGCAGAGTTTACTGTGGCATGAGGTCTATACAGTATTCAGAATTACCTGACTGAGGAGGTAATAAGTCGATCCTTGAACTAAGCAGCTATCTTTACTGTCCTGAACTACTGGAAAGGTGGAGTAGGTGGTGAGGTGTCTTCCGTATTGGTGCTCAGGCGTGTTTCTTCCTACGTTACCCTCAGTATTTTTAGGAGAAAGCATTTTGTTTAACAATGGCGATTAGTGGTTTCTTCTACTAGTTGGCAATATGCTCTGAAAAGTTGGGTTTCCTATCATTATCATTAAGGAGCTATAGCTTATGTTGTAGTTGTAGATTTGCTAATGCCGTGTGTTTTTCTGCTCATAGCATGGACCCATTCATATGACTAATTTAGGTACAGGCTTCTCCAGTCAGAGTGAAATCGATGGAGCCGGGTCGAAGTCAGCAAGTTCCTCAGGAAAGGAGAGAGAGAGGGACAGGTAAGTGGTGAAAGAGTTATGTTCAGGTCTTTTCTGATTTTGATGGAAAGCTTATTTCAGAAACGATCTGTGTTTCATATTCTCTTCTGTGACTTGGGGTTTGGGGGAGGTTGGGTGTGTTATTGTGGGTGGTTTTCTGTGTTTGGTTTTTCTGAAGGAGAAGGGATGCAAGAGTTACCTTTTCATGCTACATAATGAAAATAGCTTAATTTCCACTCTTCCCTAAGTCTGTATGCTCTTACTTTGTCTGGGTCTGCTATTTTGCCAACTTCTTGAGATAACAGGATATTCTTGCGAAATAGGTTAGCACTTACACTGTAAATTATTCCAATTTTAAAACAAGTCTGGAAAAATTGTGAACTTGAAATTTTGCAGCCTGAAATTTCAGGGGAAGATTTACCTGATAGTCCCTTTTGTTGTCTGATCATTATGAAGTAAATCAAGGGTATTGGTGGTTTTCTATGTTCTGCATCTTGTATGTAGTCCTAAATGCAGCCTAGCTATTTGAAGACATCGGGCATCAGTACTCTCCCTTATGCACTCCAGTGTGTTGAGCCACAAAACTGTCAGGCTTGCACTTTATTTCCTGGGATCATAGCATGGTTTGGGTTGGAAGGGACCTTTAAAGATCATCTAGTCCACTCCCTCTGCTGTGGGGAGGGACAACTTCTACTGGATCAGGCTGCTCAAAGCCCCATCCAACCTCACCTTAAAAACTTCCAGGGATGGGGCATCTACCACATCTCTGGGCAACCTGTTCCGGTGTCTCATCACCATTCAGAAAAGAATTTCTTCCTTACCTAATCTAAACCTGCCCTCTTTTAGTTTAAAACCATTACCCCTTGTCCTGTCACTACAGGCCATGGTAAACAGTCTCTCTCCATCTTTCTTATAAGCCCCCTTTACGTATTGAAAAGCCTAATAAGGTCTCCCTGGAGCCTTCTCTTCTCCAGGCTGAGCAACCCAACTCTCTCAGCCTTTCTTTGTAGGAGAGGTGTTCCAGCCCTCGGATCATTTTTGTGGCCTCCTCTGGACCTGCTCCAACAAGTCTGCATCTTGTGCTGGGGACTGCAGAGCTGGATGCCGTGCTCCAGCTGGGGTCTCAAGAGAGCAGAGTAGAGGGGGAGAATCGCTTCCCTCAACCTGCTGGCCACGCTGCTTCTTATGCAGCCCAGGACATGATTGGCTTTCTGGGCTGCAAGCGCGTGTTGCCAGCTTGTGTTCAATTTTTCATCTATCAGTATACCCAAGTCCTTCGCCGCAGGGCTGCTCTCAATCCATTCATCCCCCAGACATTGTTGATACTGGGGATTGTTCTGACCCAAGTGCAGGACCTTGCACTTGGCCTTGTTGAATTTCCTGAGGTTTGCATGGGCCCACTCCTCAAGCCTGTCACAGTCCCTCTGGGTGGCATCCCTTCCCTCTAGTCTATAGACTGCACTGCTCAGCTTGGTGTCATCTGCAAACTGGCTGAGAGTGCACTTGATCCCACTGCTTAGGTCATCAATGAAGATGTTAAATAGTATTGGTCCCAGTACAGACCCTTGAGGGACAGACACCACCTGTTACTGGTTTCCACTTGGGCATTGAGCCGTTGACTAACTCTTTGGACATGGCCATCCAGCCAATTCCTTGGCCATCTAATAGTCCGTCCATCAAATCCATTTCTCTCTGATTCAGAGGTAAGAGTGTTGGGGGGGACCGTATTGAAGGCACCTTACAGAAGTCCAGGTAGGTGACATCGGTTGTTCTTCCCTTGTCCACTGATGTAATCACTCCATCGTGCAAGGCCGCTAGACTAGTCAGGCAATTAAAAGTTAAACTCCTTAGGTCAAGGACTGAGTTATGAATTTGTTTGCTATTACCTTTGACTCTTTGCTTGTTTTAAAAAAAAGAAAAAATAAGGGCTTGCATTGGTTTAAACAGGCAGTTGATGCCTCCGCCAGCTTTTCCTGTCACTGGGATGAAATCGGAATCTGAAGAAAGAAATGGTGCGGGGTCTTTACCAGGCAACCATGGTGAGTGCAGTGACTAAAATACACTTGTAAGTCAAGTTTCCTTTCCCAAATGAGTTTGCGCTGGTCTTAACACTCATTTAAATTGGTGATTTTTTTGGCTGTTCTTTACACTTACACTTTTCACATTGTTTAAATGAAAAGCAGGTCGTATTGCACTGCTCTAAAATCACCTAGGTTCGCTGTGATTATACACACATGATACTTCTCTTAAAACTTTAATAAATAGCTGTATGAATGAGGAGAGTGTAATTAAGCGAAGGACCAAAGATGGGTATTTTTGACCCATCAGTCAGCTGAGGCACAGAATCTCACGGGATTGTTTTGTAACACAGATACGTGCTTTACATTGCGAACAGCTGTCTCTAGAGGCACTAAGGAGTATCAGTGGGAGTTATGGTTCAGGTGTGTATTTACAGACATGAGTTTGTCTACCTTGTCTGCCAACAACAGAAGTGCTGTCAGATTTCATCCTTTTGTAGGGCTTTACATCAAGTATTTGCAACTTGGTAAAACATGTAATCATTTTAACTCTCCTGGTAGCTTAGTGCCTTTCAGGTCTGCAGGTACATCATGTTAGTCTGTTTAACCTTAGTTTTTCTGCAGTGTTGGTCCCAGAGATTGCTCTTCCATTAGCTTTCTTTTGAACAAAATTTCTACTTTTCTTTACATATTTATCTCTTTAACGGTGAAATTGCCATCACTTAGACCCATTTGCTAACTTTACCTTTTTTGTGTGTTTCTTTCTTCTTTCTCTGTTCTCTTACATGGTTCTGATGGATCACATGTGCTGTTGCTGGTGCTGTTTCGTGTGGCCTTCGACCTTGGATGACCATTGGCCTTGTGACCTCAAAATGGTGTCCAACTAACAATTTACAATTAACATCTTTTTTTTATTAACTTGTTTTGGGGCATTTTGTCTCTCTCTATTTTTATTTTTCCTTCTTGGGGGCTGGGGGGGGGATTGTTTTGTTTTCCCCTCCTAGATCATCAAGCTAAGAAGATGAAAACTGCAGAAAAGGGCTTTGGATTAGTGGCATATGCTGGCGATTCATCAGATGAAGAGGAGGAACATGGTGGCCATAAAAACGCAAGTACTTTTTCACAGGGATGGAGTTTGGGATACCAGTACCCTTCTTCACAACAGCGAGCTAAACAACAGATGCCATTTTGGATGGCGCCATAAAAGCTGCAGAAGAGTTTTCATTCATCTTTTTTTTTTCCCTCTAGCAATAATGCATGTATATTACAAAATGAACTTTGCAAATACGCATTGTTTTTACATTTGCAGAAGCTAAAGGTTCAGTATTCCCCCTTGAAAGGGCTCCATTATTTTTAAAATCTTTCTTTCTGCAGTGAATTTAGCAATTAAAAAAAAAAAAAATTGAAATGGTATTCTGACAGGGCTAGTCCCTTATACAATGGGGGAAGTACTGTAAAGAGAAACTAGGGAAGCCTGTCTGTCCGCGTTTCCCATTTTTCCAGGATAACTTAAAAATGGAGTCAGTCATGCTGACTTCATTCTACACCTGGTGTTCCTATTTTATGGAGTGTTCCCTGCTCTCAGCCTGTGTGTGCAGTCCCGTTGAGCTAATGGTGACCCCAGCTTCAATGTCTGGACTCTCACAAAGGAAAGGAAAACAGTAGTTTTGAAAAACTTGAGGATTGTATTTCCTAAAACTCGTCATTTGTTTTTACTTTAAGCATCTCCTGTCACTCAGCACTGTTTTTTCTTTAAAATGTGGTTTTACTAACCCCACAAATTCTTGTTCTAGCCAAATGTCGGGGCAGGGGGGTGCTCGGTTTTTTGGATGGGTTCATCTTGCCGCTAATCCCCAGGTGCACTCGGTGCTGTAGCACTGGTACTTAATCTTCCCAGTCACCCCGTGCGTTTCGTTCCCATTCAGCAGTTCGGACGGAACTCCTTCTCCTGAGGCTCGCCCCCATCTCTTAACTCATTCACTTACTTGATTCTACCCCTTCTGTTTCACGGCGGTTTAACAAAGAAAAGGCAGGCGGCAGCCGGGTCCCCGCGGCGCCAGGACCTTGCCTCGAAGCGCGGAAGTGGAACCTGGGAATAAGTTGTTGAATTCTTTACGGACATGAACTGCAACACAGGCTTTCTTGGCGGGGCGGGCTGTTGCAGAAAATTCTTTTGTATGGAGAGCAGCGGCGCCTGGGACTGCGACGAGGTGCTGGTCGGCTTTCCAAAGGGGAAAAGCAGTTTTGAAAAGGGGGACGTGTGTCGCTGCTGCACGCCGAAAGGCCTTGCTGGCTCACTTGTACAAACGTTGTCTTTGCTATGTGTTGTAAATAATTAGAACCATACTTTCATTATAAATAAATGTATAAATGCTCTGCTGCTTGCTGCTCTTTTTGGCCGGGTTTGGCTCTGCGCAGCCGCGTTCCGTGGCGGGGAGTGGTGGGGGAGCAGCTCGCGGGGGGCGGGGAGATGGGCGGGGCCGGCGATGGGCTCCACCCCACGGGGGCGGG